AAATATAAGATTTCCACTTTTCTTTAAAGCGAAAAAGACACTTTTAAAAGGAAAAAGAAAAAGTGAAATAAGAATCAACTTAAGAATTTAATCTGATGGCTAACTACTAAAATTATGTTACTATATAATGAACATACAAAAATGAATTAACCGAAAGAAATTTAATTTACTAAACAAAAAAAAAAAAAACAAAAATGATTACATATGCAAACTCCATCTTAATTTCAAATCACGATCTGCCACTATTTAAGAACCAATAAAAATTAAACTCCACTTAACCATGCATAAAAAACTTTAATTTCTGGAAGTATTTCCTTGTGAACAAAACAGAACACTAATACGCATATTGTATACATGCTCAAAGTTAAAACATTTAAATATTTTTGAAAATTTGATTCCTCCAAAATTTAACATCTTCGGCAGAATTACTACTTTCACCTCCCCTGACCTCTTTTTATTGATTTTTAAAATTTTGATAAAATGAGAATAATACATTTTTAAAATTAGTTATATTTGGTTTCTTTGTAATACATTTATCAAGTTCTATTTCCATTCCTCTCATCTTTCAGCGAACATATAAGAGGATCGCCACTACCGAAGCCTCTAAATAACAAAAAACAAAAATATAAAAACCAAATACAAGAATTCAAGTAAGAAAATAAAATTGAACTGATTGTTAATTTATAATATTGATCCGATTGTTTCTAATCGGTATACACGATGAGAAATAAAAGGTCGTCTATTTATTTTTAATAAATTCAAAGAATGTAACGATAAACGCTAGTTTACCAATTGTTTCTAATGGGAGTTGGTGAACCGAATTAGACCAATCTAAATTAAAAATATTAAGTAACTAATTTTTCAGCACCCATTTTTAAGTTGTCTTTTTTTTTTTTTTTTTTTTTTTGGGATGGTAAAGTAAACACACACAACTTTTTTGCCCACGCCCGGGCTCGAACCCCTCCCCTCTTCTTTGAAGATGAGGGGGTTATACCATTAGGCCAGAGGCCCTTTGGTCCTTTTTAAGTTGTATTCCATATATATAAAAACTTTAAACATTAATTTCAAAATACGGTATAAGTTATTTTAATATAGAATGATATTTTATTTTGTGACTACTCGTCTTCCTTTCTCTCTACTTGATCTTTGTATTTTATTTTGGGGGTTTCAACATCATCAAATTTGTTTTAACTCTCAATTTTATATTCTATGTCATCTTCCTTTCTCTCCTTAGTCTATGGTATTTTATTTTGGAGGTTCCAGTGAAATTTCTTTGATTATAATCAAAAAAATTTCCTTTATCTGAATAATTGTTAGTTCATTCCAAATTCATATTGTTTACGTAGTTTAACTTGAATTCTTGTGATAACAGTCAATTTTCTTCACTTTGTCTAAAAATTGTTGGTTTATTGATTCATAATTTGTTACTCTGGAATTGAAGAAAAAGCTCGGTCTGTGTTGGTGTTCTTCTCTCTATCTCTTCGTGTCTGTTCATGATCCTTCTCCTACTCAATTACGTACCACAATTACTCTCTTTAGTAGAATCTTGTTGGGATTTTACATATAACACGCGAACTGCTTAGGATACAAAGTACGTATTGCTTGGGATGTTAAGTAAATTATAATTTAAATTAGTGTTTCTCCGAAGAGCCAATGACTATAATCCAGTACGATTACAATGATTATAATTTAAATTAGTGTTTCTCCAATTAAAGTCCATAATTATCATCAAGTAGGATTATGGTGTTTTTTCGATTAGAGTCCATGACTATCATTCGGTAGGATTATGTTGGGATGTTACAAACTTATATTGACTACGTTTGGTGTGCATGAATGGAATGGAATCTAACTTGGAATGGAATGGGAATGAGAATGGAATGAAAAAATGGTGAATCGTTATGGAATAGAATGATTATTACCATTCTATTGTTTGGTTGATTATCATTAAATTTGGAATTGAATGAGTTTTCTCAAAAATACCGTCTTCATTGGCTTACATTACTTTTTAATAAAATCAATTTAATTGATATTCTGAGGATAAATTATGGGATGTTCAGTTTCCTAGGACTGGAATCTTCATCCATGGTTACACCTTAGCCTAACATTGTCTACTTTATTTCCATCAAAAAGTCAAACAAGTTAACTTTTGACTCATATGATTGTTAATTTTAAATTTATGTTATCATTGCTCCGTATATAAATGTTTGAAGAGAGAAAGTTGGAGAAATCACCCAAACGTTTCAACACAAAGGTTAAAAAGGAAAGAAAAAAAAAAAAAAGAAGAGAAAAGTGTTATACTCAGACGATAAAGAGATTAATACATGTAATTTAGTTGAAGGTCTTGTAACTTTTTGTCAATGGCAGTCCTGGGTATATTCAAAAGAAAGAGAATGTGAAAGACCTTTACCATATCTAATAAGAATGTGAAAGATTTTTTGTCCCAAAGATTTTTGCCTTATTGGAATGTGATGAAGGGCTTATTTGAAATATTACAAAAATATTTAATCTTACTAAGGAATGGAATGGTCATTCCATAGGTTTAGTAATGGAATGGATTTTCATTTCCCGGAATGGATTTTCATTCCAATGGAATGGTCATTCTATTTCATTCATGCACACCAAACAAATGAATGATTGGAATGGGTATTCCATTCCATTTCATTCCTGTACACCAAACTTAGCATAAATGACTTAAATTACAAACTGCTTCATTCCTGTACACCAAACTTAGCATAAATGACTTAAATTACAAACTGCTGGATGTTATGTACAAATAATCCATTAGGATTAGGATTATGAGGGTTACTGCGGGATGTTATGTACAAATAATCGATTAGGATTAGGATTATGAGGGTTGCTCGGATTGCTTTGTTAATTTGGAATAAAATGACCTAGTATACTAAGAAAGGAAAGGAGAAATTTATGGAAACAAATGATGGAGAAATAAATATGTGATTTGTTTTAAAAACAAATCAAAATATGGTTATTTACTAGGGGATGTTGCTTTGTTAATTTGGAATAAAATGACTCGAAGAAAGGAAAGGAGACCTATTATACGGATAAGAAGAAAGGGAATGAGACCTACTATACGGAGAAAGGGAAGGACAAAGGAAAATGATATTTTTGACAACTTTAATACCCAACTTAAAACGGATTGAAATAAAAATATGACATGTTATTATAAAATTTTAACTTAAATAAGTATTATTACTATTCCTGTTTGTTTCCATAAAATACGTCAATTTTCTTTTCTTTATATACTCAGATTTTTATAACTCACTTCCTTACCTTTTCAATTTACAGTTTTCCTTAACCGTATCATCTTTTTTTTTTTTCTTCTTCTTCTTCTTCTTTTATTTTATTTTATTTTATTTATTTATTTATTTATTATTTTTTTTTTCACAGTATCTTTCATGGTACTCAAATAGAAGAATTTGATTAATATAAAATCTAAAACAAAAACTACAATATTTTTTAATTTTTTAATGCCTTGCAATTTTTCTTTAAATTTCTCTCCTTGTTTTTGTTTCTAGTTTCACATAGATCATTTGTTTTAATCATTGTATCAATGAACAAATGCCAATCTAATTATATATAGGAGATGCAATCTTAAGTATCCATGTGTTGAGATGCAATGTGATATATATATATATATATATATATACACACACACACACACAATTTGCTATACATGGTGATTGAAATTTAATAGTTAACAAAGATATTATATTAAGATTAAACCTAAAAAATGGACTATAACTTTCCAAATAATTAATTACTTTATATTTTAAAATGGTTCCATTATATTTGAGACATGCATAGGTAGCCGCATGGACTCATTTATATTAAGATTAAACCTAAAAAATGGACTATAACTTTCCAAATAATTAATTACTTTATATTTTTAAATGGTTCCATTATATTTAACACATGCATAGGTAGCCACTAGCCACATAAACTCGATGAAAGAGTAGATTTTTATTTGTTCAGCTAAATAATAGTACTCAAGGACAAATAGAATCATTGTTTTTATTTGGAAAGAAATCAAAATCTGAAATTTTTGAGACAGCTACTATTTGGAAACAAATTGAAATATGCAAATTTTGGGAGAGAATAAAGGATGCTTCTATTTGGGGAGAATATTGGGATATAAAAAAGGCTGATTGGATATTTTGGGAGAGAAGAAAGATGGGCTGGATTTGATTTGGTTTGAAATGAAATGGGTTGCTTGAAGAATACGTATTTGTGTACAATGTGTGTGTATATATATATGGAAATTGTGTATAAAACTAATACAAATTTTTACCCTCTTTAGTTAATACTGTTTATTCACGAAAATGGAGGAAACTGAACAATGTCGGACTAGAGAACTAATGAGGATCTGATCCAATATAAATATATATGCCGGTTCTCAAAGTATTTTGGGTTATCTCACTTTACCAAACCTGCATTAAGAATCAAATTGGACCATAAAGAAAATTAATTTTTCTTTTGCTTTAAGTTTATCTTAAACTTAAAATAAAATAATTGGCAACCAAACTTAAAAAATAATTGGCAATCGGTAGAAACCCTAGAAGATTTAACAAATTTAGAACATTAAATTTAAATGATGGTGAATTATTTTTTAAATTTGATTATTATTTATCTTTTCATGAGTTTAAACTTTAAAGTCATTCTAAAATAAATTTTTTTAAAAATATTTTGGTCACCAAAATTTAATTTTTTCCAAAAAAAAAAAAAAAAAAAAAAAAAAATTGTAATTATAGAAAGGAAAGAAAACCTCATAAACGACGTCGTGTTGTAAACCAATCAAGACGCTCAAATGTCGGTTTTTGAATGGATACCGCGAAAGAAATAATAAAATATAAACTTTTGAGAAAGTCGAATCTCACTTCCCGCGAAAATGAAAAAAACCCAACAAAAAACCCGTTGCCACGTTGGCAATCCTTGTGAACTACTATCAGCCAATCAGAGAGAGTCTCACCCCCTATATAAAACTTTTCCCCGCACCAGCAGCACTTCAAGGGAACAAAAGAAAAGCTAGGGTTAGGGTTTGCTGTTGATTCCGAAAAGTTCAGATCGGAAATCAATTTGCGCGATCGAAGAGATGAGTTCAGGGGCTTCAACGAAGGGTGGTAGAGGGAAGCCCAAGGCCACGAAGTCGGTGTCGAGGTCTCAGAAGGCCGGTCTCCAGTTTCCCGTCGGTAGAATCGCTCGTTTCCTCAAAGCCGGCAAGTATGCTGAGCGTGTCGGTGCCGGAGCTCCGGTTTACCTCTCCGCCGTTCTCGAGTACCTCGCCGCTGAGGTAAATAAGTTGTCGATTTTGATTTGATTTGATTGAATCGAACTGATTTCAATTTATCTTGGTTAGTCCAGTGTATGATTGGGCATGCATGTGTATATTATGCCTTTTTTGGGTGGGTTGATTTGCACTATTTTGAACCGTTATATATATATATATTGAAAAATGCTTCTGATTTTACTGTTATGGATTATTTGGATGGGTTGCATTTTTTTAGTTGTAGAAATTAGATTTTTTGAGGCATTTTATTGTTGACGGCTTTATCTGATTCTAATTTCAAAATTGGTTTTCTTCAGCCTTGTTTTCTTTTCTAGATTGAATTGAGTTCAAATGTTGAAGAGATCCTTCAATCGGTTTGACTGTTAATGTATAATTTGACTCATTGTGTAACATCTTATTGCAGTTTGATTGCTGCATTTTTAGCTTCTTTTAATCACACTAAAGGTTGGAATTTGGTGTGGAAGTGTTTTTTCATTTCATTGTGTCTACAGTCTACCTATGCTTGGATTTGGAAATTGTGTTTTGACACTATTTTATTATTTATATATATAAAAAAAAGGTGTTGACTGTATATTAATTTGGCAAGAGTTTTGCTTGTCACTCTAAATCTGTTTGATTAGGCGGGGAGGCTCTAATTTTTGTTGTAGCCTTGTAAAGGTTTGATTTTGATGGTGCTTTTGATGACTCATTAATGGTGTTATTCTGCTTTAATTGTTATAGTGATCTACATGTTACCCTTTATGGGTTTTTTAATTTAGTGTTTCCATTACATTGTCACTATATGTTTGGGTTGGAATTTTGATAATTTGTTTCGGATAGTTTCTTATAATATGTATAATAAAATGTTCTCTGGATGTTTAATCTCCATAATCTGTCTCTGGTTATAGTGATCTGATTGTCGGGCATTAAAGTTTCTTTAATTTGGTCTTTGTATAGCTTCTTTGATTTGGTTTAAGTCTTATGATTTGGAACCAAATCATAATCTGTTTCTCTTGTTATAGTGATCTGATTGTCCTGCATTATAGGTTCTTTAATTTGGTTCAAGTCTAATAATTACTCTCAATAAAATCGAAATTTGGTTTCATTGATGTAGGTTTTGGAGCTTGCCGGGAATGCTGCGAGGGACAACAAGAAGAACCGTATAGTACCGAGGCACATACAGCTTGCAGTGAGGAATGATGAGGAGCTAAGCAAGCTGTTGGGGTCAGTTACCATTGCGAATGGAGGGGTTTTGCCCAACATTCATCAGAATCTGTTGCCCAAGAAGGTGGGCAAAGGCAAAGGAGACATTGGCTCTGCTTCTCAAGAGTTTTAGGAGTGCTTGTTTGTTACTCACTCTTGTGTTCACTCTTTGAACTATGAAAAAAGAGACTTCTGTGTAACATACATGTTTTTGTTTCTCTTGTTTCATAATGTTTGTGCCTTTCTTTTTGATAAATCTTCTTTCTTGTCGTATGAAAATGGAAATTTCAGTTAGTAAAGATTAATTTTGTCCTCCACAGACGAATTATTCTCAGATTTTGGGGATGGTGCTCTGGTTAATTCACAATTGCATAAAATTCTCTCCTCCTGTATGGATAATAATACTAGTATTAATCGTCATCTTGCTTGAAAAAAAAAAATAGCAAAAGAATGGTAAATGGATTTAAAAAAACAAAAAAGAACTAAATCATTATAAATGTTTGGGATAAAATGAGTTGAAAAAAAAAAGAACTAATACGGTTTTTAGGGATTGTTCTATTATTTTCTTATGGAGAATTAGGGAAGCTATATTTATGCGTTTTTAAAAAATTTACCATTGGAAGACATGTTTATTATAATAAAATACAATATATATATATATATATATATATATATATATATATATATATGTAACCGGTGAAATAGACATGTTTGTGATACTCAGCTCCGACAATAAGCTCTTTCACAATACACTCTTCTTTTCTTTTCAAATGAAATTATAAAAAATCTCTAAACTCACAATACGTTCTTTCTGAATTATATAATTCCTCATTTTCTCTCTTTTACGTTCCGTTAATTTCTCACTGTTTGCAACAATACTACTAACTTTGATGAATTCAATAGTAAATTTACCAAACAAGAAGTTTGATTGATTCAATAAAACTTTTTTTAATTTTTTTTTTTTGGTCATGAAAGAAGTAGGAAATTCTCAAATTGCGAAAGTATTGTGGATATGTAATACACATTTTGTCCTTTTATTCTTTCCAAAATGTCTATGCAATCATCCTCTTCACTGCAATCATCCTCTGCCGTCCTGTGCTCGCCATCTCCACCGCCGATCCATCCGCCTCAAACCTGACCATGAGAACCACGTAAGGACCAAGGAAAGGAGAAAGTAGTAGAGAAAGACCTACAGCAATCGACGACATTGGTCTCAGAACAGTGCCACAGAGGATGGTTTCCACCGGTGCCGTTCACTGGATTCGCCGTTGGCATCGTGGCTTAACGTCATCTGGAGGAAGAGTAGGGGTGGCCTGAGGAATCGACAATGTTATTCGCATCATGACCGCCGCCGTCGCCGCATCTTCCTCCGCCTCACCCGCATCCGAACTCTCACCGGAGAGAATTTTCCCGGTGAATGATGGTTGAGGATGGTGGGGTTGTGGTGATTATTGACTAATTTTTGGGTTGTGGCATTAATTGAACCAATACTACCCGATTACAACCCTATATTCTCATAATGTTTTTTTTGCACTTAACCCTTATATATATATATATATATATATATATATATATTTGTTGAAGCGTGATTTTCTATCACTAATGTAAGAATTTGGGAGAGTAAGAAAAATATAATTAATTTTGTATCAAGTACCAATTTTGTATAAAGTACCAGAATAATTTTTAAATAATACCTAATATGGTGGTAACACCATGATTATTAGTAGATTAACACGAGCGGGATTTGAAAAATAAATATTGTTTAATGATATATTTTTTTAATTAATCTTATTAAATATTACTTAGCCTATATATATATTTACCTCTTAAGTCTTGAGAATATATAAGCATGTTCAAGTTACTAATCAGATATTTTCGTTTTTCGTTTGGTATTTTTCAATATCTCAATTTGCATTCACCATCTGTATTTTTCGTATCTAAAAAATATATACAAAATACGACATAATCTTATAACAAAAAATCATGCAATCCAATCATTTACAATTCAACCGTGCAACAAAACTTATATTTACACAGTATGAATAAAAATTACACTTTCATAAGCCAAGTTGTTAAGCCTTTTATATAAAAAATTAATAATGTATTAATTATTTTTTTTTTTCTTAGTCGATATTCATACACATGCCTCTAACGAGACTCGAATTCCTCACTTTCCTTTAAAAATTAGGAGTCTGGTATCGCTAAATCACCGTCTAGTTCAAATTTTAATCGATAAGCGAGAATATAGTTATCAATTGATATACTTGTTAATTTTTTTAGTGCACAAATTGTTGTGTATCAATTTTTAAGTGGCATACTTTTAATTACTAGCTAGTAATTGATATGCTGAGTAATTTATATAATAATAAGTTATCAATATATATTTATATAAACTTTTGTTAATATATATATTATTTTTGTTACAAAGTAATTAATATACTTTCATAAATGTGCTTAGTATTTAATAAATGAACTTATTTAAAATATTAATTAAATCAATCATTAGGCTTAAATGTACATTTTTAGTATATATATATATTTTTAATAGGTTGGTGATGGTAGTGGAATAAGTTAGATTTTTTTAATTAATAAATAATTATTTCTTTTTTAATTGATTTATTAAATAAATTTTATGTTTCAGTTCAATGTAATCATTCATATTGTTTGCTATTTGATATAATTTTGGAATATATTTTATAATAAAATAAATATTTTATTTATCATTTAAACAAGGACAAAAATAATCCGTATTATAGTTATTCCAAATTTCATTTAAAATCCAATTTGTACCCGACATATAAATATAAAATTTCATTTTAATTCCAATTCCTATCCTATTCCTATTCCTTTTCCTTTTCCTTCTCCTTCTCCAAATCCCAAAATAATTGGTTCCAAACGGAGCCTTCCTCTCTCTCACGCTGCCACAAAATCTTCCACCATCCTCTCTCTCACTTTGGCGCAAAATCCTCCACGACCTCCTCTTCTCTTCCCATCGTTGGCTTAGCTGCACAGCCTACACCCCCACTCTCCTTCTCTCTCCCAGAGTTAAACTTCACAGTACACACAAAAATTGCAGATCTGTCTCACTCGGGTATAACCGAGTAACCGACAACGAACCAACATCTCAGTAATCAACCACGGATTCATCATCTTTTTCAAATTTGGTAAGATTTATTTCAATTTTTAGGTTTTGTTAATGGATGTTCATGTTCTTTGATCGGTTAGTATTTCAGATGTCTTTTGTGGTTTACATGTTTTAGGGCTGTAATCGGGTAGTATTCAGTGTTTTGGGGATGATTTAATTGTTGGTTTGGTTCTGAGGATACTATGTCGCTCTTTTCGTATTGGCATTGTCTGTTTAAGAAAATTAGGACTTGAAACTCTTCTTTGTAACTGTGTAGTTCATTACTAGTCTCAGATTAATAAATAAATAGTGTAAAAATTATGGTCCTATGAATTCTAAAATTATGGTCCAAATGAATTCTAAAATTACTATCATCTCTCACAAAAGCAAACCTGGTAACAAGGATCACCCTTGCCAGTTAACCACTGAGTGAGTTTTTTGCAACAGGGTGTTTGCATATCAGTTATGGAACTCCCTTTATTTTATTTTATTTTATTTTTTTATTTTTACATTTTTTCTAATATCTATAAATTTGAATTTATATATATGCATATATACGTACTGAGTTAAATGTGTATTTATAGTCATTACTGAAATGGATTTGAAGAAATTTGTTAAGACTTTTGAGAAGGAAGATGTATTGAGATTTAAGATTAAGGTTTTGTATTTCTACTTTTAGAAGCCATTGTGATTTAAAAGCCCTTATCTGCTGCATTTATTGATGAAAAAAACTGGTACATGTATCAGTACCTTGAGCCAAGTTATCTTAGATTTCTCAGCCCATAAAACCTCTTCCAGATTAAAAAAATAGAAGAGTCTTTGTGTTCCATTCAATTTGAGCCCAAAAAAAAAAAAAAGAAGAAGAAGAAGGAGAAGAATAAGAAAGAAAAGAAAAAGAATGTCCTTTTTATATTAATGCCATTGCCGTGGCTCTGTCAGTATGGTTGGTCTGTCGTGAGCCCCGGAATGTCAAAATGACAACGTCCACATGTAGATTTTCGTCCATACAGCAATAGCTAGGAACACATTGTATTAGTGATGAACTGATGATATCAAGCTCAAACATAACAAGTGATAAAGAAGCATAATATTCTCAATACTATCAGGATTATAGTCAATCAAAAACAAAAAATGCAAGGATGGAGCAAAAGCAGCAAAAGTATTACTAGAAGTAGGTTTTTTTTTTTCGTTATAAAGACCATGAAGAGACAATTAGGCCATATCAGATATTCCAAAAATTTCTTACCAACAGCCATTGCAGGTGGCTGTGTATACTGAATATATAATAAATATAAAGTGGTACAAAGGGTCCAGCGGAAGGAATCCGAGCTTGGCGGCTTGTTTAACTACACCAATACCAATCACTGGAAGTATCACGTATCGAACGCAAACGACTGAAACGATGATCAATGGTCTTAAAATTTTACTAGTCTTTGACATATTCACAGGCCATGGCTGAGTTAAGATACCCAGCTTTGTACCCTGTTCTGATGTTCTAATGAATTGTGTAGTTTATGTTCACGCCTTCGTGTTTCCATGCAAATACTTCATTTCTTATTAGTAGCTACATCTGAATCATATAGGAATTGAATTAGAAGCCGGTCCTTTGGCCAATCCAACCGACAAGCAGCAGAGATTGATTGTGCATATACCTTAATTCCATCAAATTGTTTCACATCAGATCAAACACACACACAGATTTCAAATGCAATCACACACTGTAATTGGTGGGTCTGATTTTTTTTTTTTTTTCATGACCACTGTAATTCACTGAAATTCAAGTGTCATTGTGCGTGTACTGTAACATCACTAGGTGAATTAAAGTTGCATAATGCATACTAGACTGCTGTTACACTAGGTGAATTAAAGTTGCAGAATGCAGACTAGACTGCTGCCAATTAACCTTGGATGACTTGTGTAGAACCGTGGAACTGAACCAAACCAAACCAAACCGGTTTTTCACGGTTTGGGCTGGTTCGGTTCCATGGTTCAAATGGTCTGGTTCAGTTTCTGAAAATTTGGAACCGTAAGGAGTGGTTTGGTTCCAAAAATCCTCAAAACATTGTGTGCACCCCTAAAAGTAATTATAATTCACCAGAAAATGAAAGAATTAATAAGTTAAGATTTTGTGACTTTTTTGTAATTTTATTTTAAGAGAAAATGAAAGTGTAGCGCAATAGAATATTTTTGAAGTGCCAATATCAGCAGCCTATATATATATACATAAGGATATAAGCTAATTATAAATCCGACAATATATTCATTTTTGTTATATGAGTATTGATTAAATAAACAAATTTTGACTTCATGTGCTTAAATTTTCTTCATTTTCCAATGTTTAACTTTGGATTTGATCATGGCAAAAAAAAAAAAAAAAAAAAAAAAAAACTTTTGATTTGATCAGCAGAGCTCTTTTTTGATTTGTTATTAAATACCTATTACATGGTTAAATTCTTTTGGTTCAATAAATGCTTTACCCTCATTATATTCATGCATATCATCTAACAAATCCCACACTTCTTCAGATCCAAACCGTTCATCACTTCTCCTTCTCCTTCGTTCACTCCTCATGCCCTAACCTTGTCCAAAGAACCCGCTCTTGTTCACCTTCTCACAGTCGGTGACTACCTTGTTGACTTCCGAGTTCACAGCACGGTCAGCTTTTTCCAAACCACTTCTATTTCTTCTTCGGCTAACCTTGCCCTAACCCGCTGTTGTTGTCCTTCTCATAGCTAGATAAAACCTTCAACTATCTCCTCCACCTTCATCTGAGTTCACAACAAGGCCGGTGAAGTATAAGCCTGTCGTTCGGCTCACCCCTCTTGCCCTAACCCTCTGTTCTTCACCTTCTCCTCCACCTTCACACGAACTGTCCACATCACCGCCGGCTAATAGCTACAGTCCTCAGAATCCCTATTTTACCCTTTTAGCACTCATCTCTCTCTGTAATTCTTCAGGCACAACTTATTTCTTTGAATCTGTCTCTGCAATTCCCCTAATTTTTTTTAAAAAAAAATTTACGACTCTATTATTGAATTTTAGTAATATTGTAGAGGTATACATGTTTGGTTACAAAAATCCATGTTGTTACTTCTCTTTGCAACAATATATAAATCAAATTTTTTTTTTAAAAATAACAATTTATGAATGCGGACCAATGGACCAAAGTAATTATTGTTTAGAAGTTGGTTAAATGATTCTTATTTTGGGTCAATAAGTTTTGTTCTCTCTCTTGGACTATAAGCAAGTCTCCATTTATTGGATTCTGCAATTGCATGCTTGCATGAGTTTTAGCATCTTACTACCAATGGCAAAAATCATTAACAGTATGCTTAATACAATTACGTAATCCACTAATTTGAGCTTTATGTGATCATGTTAATTTGAGAACTTTTCCTTAATTGGTAAATTAGATAAAAGAATTTATTAAAAATTATGTACTTGTGACCATTTAATTTAACTATCTTGTGTCCATGTTTGTGCTTCTTAGGTAATTACTCATTTTATTCCTAGCTTTAATAACAGACAAAATTTCGTTTCCCCTTATCCACTCACATAATGAAACAATTCCATTTCTTTTGCTACCATCTTTTCTAAATATGATGAATGGTTACCACTATCAATTGTTTTTTTCCCCTTCATTATTTTTCTCTTTTAATTGCTTTTTTCTCCTATCTTATTTGCTACCATCTTTTCTAAACATGATGAATGGTTACCACTATCAATTGTTTTTTTCCCCTTCATTATTTTTCTCTTTTAATAGTTTTTTTCTCCTATCTTATCGAAACACGCCATTTGATCTCAGCAGAGTCAGTAGAACATTTAAGAAGCTATAAAACCCTAACATCACTGCCCTTGTAGCCCTTCCACAATCTCTCTTTCTCATTGGTAAGTATTCAACCATTACCCGGAAGAAAGAAGCACAAAAGGTACCCTATACACTCTCCTTCTCTCACTAGTCCCTACTCACAAAAGGTACCCCATGCACCCCCCTTCGCTCACTACTTTATCCTATAATACATCATGTTATTCATTGATGATTGGATTTTTAGATTTTTTTTTCCCCTCTCTCTCTCTTACATTTCTTCTCATTTCATGAATTATCCTCTGGTTGGAAATTGAATTCAGTTAACCAGAACTCCCAACTGGAGGTTCATTGTTTTGATGTGGACGTCTCCGAATTTATATCCAAGTTTTTCTCGACATGCTCTCTCTCTCACAGACTCATACACAGCCATGCATAACAAAATTTCCCTGAAGTTAGCCATGCATAATTTCAGCGTTTCTTTTTCTTGGAGTAAAATTCTAGCTTTTTGTTTAGTGTACGTTTTCTAAATTGTGAATTAGCTTTAATTATTGGTGTGCCTGCATTTTTATTTTTAATAGCTCCTTATACTCTGGGTAACTTGTACACTCAGAGACGTGGATATTTGTCTTTGTTTTATGTTCCATTTGGTATGTGTATGCTATCTGTTATCATGTGATGAGTTAGTCTTGATATATTTTATGTTACTTAACTTTGAGTTTTTATTTGTAAACAGCTTATTGGAGATTGTCGAGCTCTTCTATCAACCATGATTTACACAGCGATCGACACATTTTATCTAGCAGATGAGCAAATTAAAATTTCACCTTCTAGGAAAGATGGCATAGATGAAGCAACAGAAATTACACTTAGAATCTATGGCTGCGATCTCATCCAAGAAAGTGGCATCTTACTTAGACTGTATCCTTCATATTTATTGTGGTGCTATTGTTTTAGTCCTCAGTACAACGGTACAGTATCAATTGGCCTGAAACCCATGTTTATCCATCCTCACCTCATTGGCTTACCACCTTAAGTAATTGCTTATTTTTATTATAATTATAGTATAATTATTGATTTATTCGCTACATTTGGCTGGTGTATTTCTTTAATCATATTGCCTACAGACCTCAAGCAGTAATGGCCACTGGGCAGGTTCTGTTTCATCGCTTCTACTGCAAGAAGTCATTTGCTCGTTTTAACGTCAAGGTTCCATTCTTTTCCTTTATTCATGGAATTTTCTGTATTCAATATAAAGTAGCACAATATTTGTATGCTTTCTAATTGGGGCCTGATCTATTTATTATTTTACTCACAGAGAGTTGCTGCTAGTTGCGTTTGGCTTGCATCAAAACTTGAGGAAAGCCCTAGAAAAGCAAGGCAGGTCCTCATTGTTTTCCATCGAATGGAATGCAGGAGGGAGAACTTACCCATTGAGCATTTGGACCCATTTTCTAAGGTTATAGTTGCATCTCATTTATATATTGAACTCAACTGCTTTTAATTTTTCAAAAGCACAGAATATGAGGAAAGTCCTAGAAAAGCAAGGCAGGTTCTCATTGTTTTCCATCGAATGGAATGTAGGAGGGAGAACTTACCCATTGGGCATTTGGACCCATTTTCTAAGGTTATAGTGACGTCTCATATATTTTTTCCTAGGAACCCAGCTGTTTTTGTTGTTAAGAGCTGAATTTTAAGTGCTGAAGTTTTTAAGTGGTAATTAAAATTTGAGATTTTTTCATTTTTTCATTTATTTATTTATATGATTTTTTAAGTGTTCAGTGCTAAGTGAATTCACTGTTAGTCAAAATTTTAGTAATAATCAAATTGTCTTGTCAAATCCACTTAATTGGATAAGCACTTAATCCACTCAGAATTAAGTGTTGAATTGGATTGTCAAACAACACTGTATATATGTACAAAAGACTATAAAATGGGTCTCCTCATAACTGTTGAGTTCTAAAAAATGTAAAATGATCATTAGATATCAAACCTCTGTTATTACAGTCCCTTTTAAATTGATCTCTGTACAATTTATAAAATTTATCTTGACTCTACAATTTCTGCTCCTTCAAGTGAAAATTCTTGGGCCCTGCCCCCATTTTGGTTACTACTGTAAACAGTAGAATCTGAGAAGCCTGATGTGCTTATATTCAAAGCAAGTTGTTGTCCTTGGATTAACGGCTGTTCTTTTTACAGAAATATGCAGAGTTGAAAATGGATTTGAACAGAACAGAGAGGCATCTTTTGAAAGAGATGGGTTTCATCTGCCACGTGGAACATCCTCATAAATTTATATCGAACTACCTTGCTACCCTTGAAACACCCCCAGAGTTGAGACAAGAAGCTTGGAATCTTGCAAATGATAGGTAATTATGAATTTAGAATATATATTACTTATTGTTCGTAGTTATGTATTGGTCCATTCATTTAACATGGTCATTTTGGGTGTGGCTGATAAATGTCAATTGATTGGATTGGAGGAGTTAAACTTTGTTGCTTTTCTTAGGTTTCCTTCTCCAAATTTATGTTGCTATTCATTTGACATGTTCTTTTGGGGAGCTTCAATTTGTTTTTCTTTCTTTCCTTTTTTATCTTATGTGTGAATTGTTTCATAAGTACTAAAATAAGAATAGCATAAAGCTTTCATTAAAGTTTTTAACATTTAGTAGCTGCATGCAATTTTAAAGATTTAACATGTTTTCTTTTTTATTATTATTATCACAGATCACACTCTGTGATATTAACAAGGACTGGGATATAGTTCTCCTTTTATTTGTTCATCTCTCATGGTGAATGTACAATTTTTTGCACCTTTGATTTCTTTTTATTCACTGATAATTTCAGCATCTCTACTGGGTTTATATCACTTGGTTAAGACTATCTGTGCCTATATGGCTTTGGTTGGGTGTGTCAAGTTGGTAGTTTGAGCTGGTGTTGAAAATGGAACATGAGTCAAACTCATTAACAGCTTGTTTGCTAACTGCTGTTGGAGAGAAATAGTGTTTGTGATGAGATTCCTGGATATTAAACAATCCGATGGTAGCTTGTGAAATAAGATTTGTGTGGTAATTGACATTGATGAACTCTCAAGAAAATTTTCGCATTAAACTCTTTTTGTTTTTCTTTCTGATAACTGAAGTAAATTTGCATCAAAGAGCATTAGGAAAGGGGCACAGCCCAAGTACACACAACTGTACTTTCTTCCCAAGCATTCCACATAACACATAGAGGAATATGTATCCCAATGGTATAATCATATTCCACAATACTTGTTGTCTCCCCTCTTCTCAATCCAGGATCCACTCCAGGATTCCATGTGCACAACTGAGGGCAGGAACCCATGTAACCCAATCTTCTCTTTTTAGTAGTATGACATACATCATCTGTACTTGAACCCTGCATTTCCTTTTCTTGGCTTTGAATTCTTCAAATCTCTTTTAAAATTTACCTGTACTTCTTTTAGGCAAAGGAAGGCAGTAATACATGGTTGTTCCAAAGGTGTTATACACATCACAATCCACACGAGTGGGAAAAAAGTTATGGTATCATTTTAGCTATTAAATTATTACTTTATGGATGTATTGTTAAGGATATTCTTTGACACTCAACAAAATTTAGCACATAGAACCAAAACTAGATACATAATGGACACTTTTAATAGTTGCTGAACCCTTATACACTTTTCGCACAAAAAAGTTTTAAATCTTTTTTTTGTTTGTCCTCGTGTCAGTCCAAAGGCTAGACAATGAGGTAGCGCCGCGCCCCCCCCCCCCCCCCTGGCAAGGCCACTGAGATATATGGTAGCTGGAAAATTTCCTTTCCACAAAAGCGTGATGGGACCATTCGTGGACAGTTATGTTATTGCTTAGGTTTCTATAACACATGCTTTGAATTATATGGGAATTTTTAAAGATTTTGTTCATTGATTATATATTTGTTTTGAGCAGTTTGCGTACAACTTTATGCGTGCGATTCAAGAGTGAGGTCGTTGCCTGTGGGGTTGTGTATGCTGCTGCACGTAGATTCCATGTACCCCTTCCCGAGAATCCTCCATGGTGGAAGGCATTTGATGCAGAGAAATCTGGGATCGATGAAGTCTGTAGAGTTCTTGCACACCTATATAGCCTTCCAAAGGCAGAATATATACCAGTATGTAAAGACGGGGGTTCATTTTCAATGTCTAATAGATCATGGGATTCACCGTCTCGATCAGTTCCAAAGGTTCTTTCCCTCTCTCTCTCTCTCTCTCTCTCTCTCACATACACACACACACACAAACACACTTTGTTTCGTGTGTGGTATGGGGCCTATGCTATATTTTGAGAAAAAGAAATTAAATCATTCTTAATTTTGTTGGTCAGATTATCCACTGTTAAGTGGTTTTTAGGGGAATTTTGTAGGGAGTACTGTGTTTTAATGTTGTACCGTATGGAGTGGCTTTCCTGTCTTTCTTCGTTAAAAGTGGCTTGAACTCAACTGTCATTACTTTTTCTGTAGGAAGGTTCAGGTGGCCCTCCAGCAAATAATGATACCAATACTCCCAATGCAGCTTCCGCAGCAGTTAATTTGGAATCCGGCGGGTCCAAGTGTGCACTGATAAAAGTCGCTCTTGACAAATTGAAAGAATCAAAGAAGAGTGATGATGAGTCCAAAAGCATGCCTAGTGAGGGAGAGTCAAGAGAAACAGTGCCGAAATCAAAGACTGAGCGTAGAACACAGGCAAGTGGGGAAAGGGCAAAAGAGAGAGATTGGGATAGGGAAAGGGAAAGAGAAAAGGAGAGACTAATAGCTCGGGACCGCGATAGGGGGAGGGACTCTGACCGGGAACGAGAGCAAAAGGAAACCGGAAGGGACAGAGATAAAGTCAAGGACAGGAGTCACCGTTCGAAGGACAAAGGAAGTGATTCAGGTTGGTTTATAAATGTATAATGGTAATTGCACAATCTCTTCAGTTTACAGTGTTTCTACGCTTTCTTCTGCTTGCGTCGTATTTTTACTAATTCAAGCACTGAATTTGTTTATCCTATCTGTTCATGAACGAAGGGGGGTACCCGGAGAAATCAAAACATCATTCAGCTCGTGGTACATGCTTAGTCTTCTTTCTGTATTTTCTTAGTAAGTATATTTTTTCCAGCCACTAAATTACAGCTTATGCAATATTTCTTTTTCAGATCGTGACCACCACAGCTCCTCTTACTCTTCAAGGGAGAAGGACCGCCACAGACACCATTCATATGCGTAAACTGGGTGTAACATTTGACCGTGTCCAAGTTTTAGCTGCTCAAAATACCTCAAAGTTGTATGTTTAGTCTGCTTTTGGCAATCGATGTGAGTGAAAAGCACGCGATTCTTCTTCGTCTGAGTTTAAATGTGCAATTGTGGGCAAATGCTGATGGGGATGGAGTTAGGGCACTCATTGAGGTGAAGTTAATAATAACTTTTTTGCCAAATAGCTTTTTGTAAAAAAGGGAATGCACTGTATGTCAAGTTCAATCGGTTAAGGACTTCATATCAATAATAGCAGAATGTTCTAATGTATTTCAAGAAACTGACTAGTGAGTTGAGAGCGCTCTTTGAATATGTTATGAATGTGGTTTTAATGGTACACCGGCGTTAAAAAGTAGATGACCATCAATCAGTAACTTAAATGATATGCACTCTCTAAACTGATTTGTATGATTCTGGTAAAAGGTTGGAAAGCGGATGGTTTCTTTTGTTGGAGTTATTTTGGGGTTCTATGGAATGACCCAAGTTTTTTGAGAGAATTAGTTATTGTGAACTATTTGAAAATTAGGGTTTGTCGAAATAATTAGTATAGGGTAATCCTTATAATTATGGATATAATATATTTGTTGAGCAGACTACGGGTTGTTTCCTCTACTTCGTTCATGTCGGGAGAATTCAACATTCATCTTCTTTATATGGTCATTCATCTTTGCTACTCATGTCAACTGAGTGTGTTTTTTGAAGAGCAAGCACTTGTATTGTCTTGGATGAGCCAAATATAATTGTTTTGGAACGTCCCCGTGTCATGGTTGGAGACAATATTCGTGGTTTAGAACATAAAAAGCAACTAAACTGAATAATCCCATGAAAGTCAAATTTAGTAGCTACATATCAATCAGCATCACGGCATTTCCTAATTGTGTGATGATACTAATGTTTTAGGACCTTAATGCAATGGTCCATAGGATGGACAATGAGTCGTCATAGAATGAACTAGCTGGTTTTTAAGGGGTTACTTGAAGTTAAAAAATTTTAAGTGGTTACTTGAAGTGAGCTGAAAAGGTGCTAAAAAAGGAAGGGACTAGTTGTAAAGATAGAATCCTCTCCAGTGCACCAGTGCTTTGCGTAATGTTGGAGATCACTAATCCAGTAATCCACCTCACCAGTGGGCCCCTCTAGGCCCGTGTGTTTGTGTGAGAAAAATAGACATATATCATCATAATCATCACCATCATAAATATCACCTATTTACATGGTCAACCAAAATCTACAATCAAATCGAAAAGTAAAAATTGGGTTTAAATAGTTTATCCGAAGAATTGGATTAATTGGAGCAAGGTTGGCAAATTACGAATATTACTCGAATACGACACGGGATAAATGAGTTTAAATTGACTTTAAATGAGTTTAGGTCATAAATGGATTGATATAATTAATCTATTTATTTAACCGTTTCGGGTTAAGGTTGAGGGGTTCAACTCGTGTAATCCGTTTAACTCAACATATTATAATCATGAATATGACATGTAATATATTACCTGTTTAAATCCAATTAATATAGATAGTTAAGTCATTTCAATATAAATTTTGTCTATGGCTTATGATTTTTCTTCTTATTTTGAATATTTAGGTTAATTGTGACAATTTTATTATTATTTATTATTCGATTAAATATTAAATGTCTCGTTTTGATAAATAGGTAATTAAACAGGTTAACACGTTTATCTGTTTAATAAACGGGTTTAGTTAGTATTGATGGTTCTTGACACGATTATTAAGTAAGTTGGGCTTGAGTTTACCTGTTTAGTATAATAGCCTTACATCGATATGATACGATTATGACTCACGAACACGAATTGCAACCCCTACCTTAGAGTATGCAAGATTTATCTTTTTCGCTTTAAGAAAACCTAGGAAGCATGTGTATTAAAAAAAATTTGAGTTTTAATTATTTCAGCCTTTGATCGAACCATCCTTGATCCAGTGTTGAGAGCATCCGTGCTGGTGCTAATTGGGCAAGCCCCACATGAGCTCGCAATCGGGTAATTTTATATATTTATTATTTATTTTTTTATCCTTATTCCAAAATGCAGTCGTTTTGGGCGAAGCAAAAATTTATTTTTTTAAGGTCAGCTGTAATGGTCAGGAACAGTGCCAGGCATTGTTTAGCAGTATGGTTTTTTTTTTTTTTTTTTTATGGAAAAACCCCAAAAATTGGTTGTTTTGAGCTCATTTATTTATAAAATAAATAAATAAAATTCATTAAATAAAAATATTTGTTTAGGCACTATTTGTCCAATTTTTTTTTTTTTAATTTGGGCCAAAAATAAATTTAAAAACCTTTTTTTTTTTTTTTTTTTTTTTCCACCTTAAAAATTGATTTTTTTTGAACTTTTTTTATTTTAAATTTTAAACTTCTGCCACAAACAATGCATTTGTCCGTTAAGCCACTGTTTGTGTCAGCCAAACAGTGCCTTAATGGCTATAAGTTTTGAAAAAAATTAAAAATTCATTTTCTTATTCTTATAGGATTTTGTAATCCTTAGTTTATTTATTTTCTTACTCCAATTCAGGATTTTGTATTGTTTAAGTTACTTTTAATTATTTTGTTTAAATTGGTTTTTTTTTTTTTTAAATTTTTTTTTTTTTATAATGGATAATTTATTGTTTAAAGTTATAATATCAACCCTGACTTTTTTAATAATTTGCAAATATATTGTTTAATTGAAAAATATTGTCGTTGAGAAACAATTTCAATTATTTTTAATCTTAAGAAACCCTTACATAATAAAAGTTCTAGTACATGAAATATCATAACATCTTAAAATCAAACAAAATGCAACATAAATTAAACGTCTTCATCATCATAGCGGTTACACAAATTTTTGATCAAATCATTCCTCAATCGCGTATTTGTCTCTTTATTGTGAATCTGAAGCTGGTGAGAGAATATGTGTGCCGCTAAAACCAATGGGCATTTACTTAAAGTGGGAATCGGGATTGCCTCCTCCGGTGGCAGAGTCCATCTTCCAACATTTGTGTGACGCTCATCTTCAATGATCATATTGTAAAGGATGATGCACGTTTTCATTATGAGGTGTAAGTCATCTTTCTCTTAGTAACGCATTAGTTCTTGCGTTAATGCCCACTTGATCTGCAATACCCCAAAAGCCTGTTCCACGTCTTTCCTGCATGCCTCTTATCTTTGAGCAAACAAATTTTCTATTCTAATGGTTATGTGCGGTATGGTCTGCATCAAAGTTACCCACTTGGGGTATATATTATCAGACATGTAATTTCCCATTTTATAGTGATGTCCATTCATCACATAATTAATCATATGTAATTGGCTATTGAGGATACATTGAATACTGAGGAATGATCCAATACATTTATATCATTGTGTGAACCCGGTATTCCAAATAATGCATGTCAGATCCACAAATCTCGTAAGGCAATTGCTTCAAATATGAGAGTATTCATACTAGAGCGTCCAATGTGTGTGCCATGTCATTCTACTAGGCAATTCTTCCATTCTTAATGCATACAGTCGATAAAACCAAGCATACCCGGGAATCCTCTATGCTCCCCTTCTTAAAGCATCAGTGCTATGTCGACTTCGTTGAGTGGGCGCATATACTTATCTGCATACACAACAATAATAGCATTACAAAATGCCTCTAACAACCCGAACTGGAGGTCCGAATCGCTAACTAGATCCTTAACCAAACCCGAGGACACACTAGGGGTAAAATGGCCATTTTACAATATGAGAGGATAGTTTTCCCTTAAACTAGTCAAATTAAGTTTAAAACAATCATTCTAGTCATTCCATGATATTTGAAGGGGTTCTACGGTCATCGATTATGAATTACCAAAAGTACCCTTGCTTGGTTCAAGTAAAATTCTGACACTAAAATAACCATAACTCTCAACATAAATGAAATTTGAATATGAGGTTGGTCTCATTAGAAAGCTAACTTAAAATCCTTGAAAATGGACTTAAGAATGACCTAATTTGGGTTCAGAACGAAGAAGTTATGACCGCCCGAAGTTAAGTGATTCAAGATATTAAACTGATGAAGCCAAAAGGGTGCACTGGGGGACTTAAACCGGTTCAAGATGGGTAGTGTGCCCAACCACGAACCAAATGCACCCCATTGAACCAGTTCAATGGGGCTGAACATGTTCAAGATGACCAGAACCCTAAAAATGCCCCAGAAAGCTTAAAATTTGAACTTGTGCATATATGCACTCCTTTGGTCTCTTTGTGACCTTACTTAAAGTCTAAACATGTCCCAAAACTTTCATTTGATGGTAAAAATAATACAATTAGGTGACATTACATTCAAATAAAACCATACATGAGTCCATTACACCATTAAAGTTAAACAAGTTTGTCATACATCAAAATATGGCCTTAAGGCCTTACATGAATTTCGAAATCATAATCAGACCATGAGATACAAGAGAATGGTCTCAAAACCATTTCTACCCACGTAATAGATAAAAAATGACCCCTAATACTATTTACAACAAAAGGGGTAATATATACATCAAGTAGAAAAGAAGTCCAGGTTTCTTTCAGTCCGACCAAGCTTGTCGTGGATTGTTGTCCGTTACTTCTTTTCCGTGTTCTGAAAAATGTAGAGGGATGAGCACAAGGCCAGTAGAGATTGCCTACAGGGCATCTCCTAAAATTAAGTAGACAAAACACATGCTCAGACACGTCAATGAATAGAGTAGGAGAGTGTGGATCATACCGAGATCACACATCATCAATAATTAACAAGCAATCTACTATTAACCATTTGAAATATTGCAATGCATGAAATGGCTTATGCAACGCATTCCACACACACACTCTCACACCCAATCCACATACCAAAAACGTACTAACTAACCGGACTTTGGTACCTCTGTCGTCCCTTGGGAGAATTTGTTAGTCGTCCCTGGAAAAGGTGACTCTCAACTACCATTTGGGGCCCGAGGTAGCTAAATTACTCACGAGTTCCTCCCGTATTCCTCTTAGCTAGCTAGCACCACCGATAGTGGGGTACCTCCCCAAAACTGGGTTTTGAAAAACCTTTCTTCAAATTTTTCCAATTCACATCACCAAAATTTTATTTACAACACACCCAATGCTCAATGCCAATGTAACAATATTAATGCCATGCTCATAATGGTCTACAAACTCAATTTGACATTCACATTGGCAATTTTACAAACACCTAACATACTTGGCATTTCAAGAACACTAGAAATGTCAATTTAATATCAAGTAGCATGCTTGCTCCCAATTAGCCACCTAAACCATTCAAC